GGTACCGATGAATCAACCCGTGGAACAATGAATACAGTTGCATTTCAATACCTTATTGAATCTGTCAATCAGTAAAGTGATACAAACAACCTTAGTCATGAAACCAGTCACTGGTTGGAGTCACGTTTAGTAATGGACAGATAGCTGTGTACTGACACGGAAGCCTAACACATCGTACACTTGATCACTAATCCAGGGAAAACGATATAACATGATCCGCTCTTCTTTAAGAAATGTAATACGATAGTAACACATTTATTAAAAATAAGTAACAGTAAACATTGAATTGAGGACAGTGATCAATTACGGAATTCACTAGAAAGATGAAAGTATGATTGTAAAACTTCTAAGTTGTCTAAGTCGTCAAAACAATGTTACAGGAAATCTAACAGCAGTAAACAAAACAGTTTAAGAAAGCGTTTGACAGTCTGGACAGGAGTACATTATGGAAACTTCGTCGACACTATGGAGTTCCTGACAAGATTGTCAACATTATCGTTCGGAACTCAAACGACGGACTAAAGTACAAAGTCGTGCATGAATGACAGATAACAGGTGCATTCCAAGTGAGGACAGGAGTCAGACAATGCTGTCTATTCTCTCCCCTCACATTTCCCCTGGTGATTGACTCGATTATAAAGACCTTGACTTCGTGGGGGGAGCACGGAATACAATTGACATCTCAGAATCAATAACAATATTTGAACTTCGCCGATCACCTAGCTCTCCTATCCCATACACACGAACAAATGCAGATGAAGACAGCAAATGTAGCAGCAGCCTCTGCATAGATAGTCCTCCACATTCACAAAGGAAAATGCAAGATTCTCAAATACAACACGGAGAACACCAACCCAATCACACTTGATGGCGAAACTCTGGAAGAGGTGGAAACATTCAAGTACCTGGGAAGCATCGTTGATAAACAAGGAGGATCGAATGCAGATATATAGGCGAGGATTGGCAAGGCATGGGCAGCATTTCTACAATTGAACAACATATGGAACTCAAAACAACTCACAACTAATTTCAAAGTCAGAATCTTTAATACGAACATGAAGACAATCCTACTGTATGGAGCTGAAACGTGGAGAACTACTTCATCCATCGTCAAGAAGGTACAAGTATTTATAAACAGTTGTCTAAGCAAAATACTCAACATCCAATGGCCGGATACTATCAGCAACAGCGTTTTATGAGAGAGGACAAACCAGCTTCGAGCTGAAGAAGAAATTAGAAAAATACGTTGGAAGTGGATCGGACATACATTGAGGAAATCACCAATGTGCATCACGACTAAATCTCTAACTTGGAATCCGGAATGGAAGCGGAAACGATGAAGGCTACAGAACACGGTACGCCAAGTAATAGAAGCGCATATGAAAAGGATGAATAAATACAGACAAAGACAACAAATCTAGCAGGAGTCGCATACAACACCGAGAAATCCAAGCCAATCACATTTGATGGAGAAAGTCTGAAAGAGGTAGAAACTTCCACGTACCTGGACAGCGACGTAGTTGAACAAGGAGGATCCGATGCAGACGTAAAAGAAACGATTGGCAAAGCAAAGGCAACATTCGTACAAATAAAGCATATATGAAACTAAAAGTAACCGTCAACAAGCATCAGTCAGAATTTCCAATACGACTGTCAAGATAGTTCTACTACTTGTAGATGAAACTTGGCAACTACCACAACCATCATGAAAACGTATAAGAATTTCAATTTCTCCAATTGTCCACGCAAGATACTTATTGTACGTTGAACGGATTCCATCAGCAACAGCTTATAGTGGGAGAGAAAAATCCAGCTTCAATCTGAAGAGGAAATTATGAGGAGACGATTCAAGTGGATGGGAGTTACATCCATGAATCATCGGACTTCATCACCAGGCAAGTGCTAACTTGGAATCCAGAAGTGATAAAGAAGAGAATTAGACCAAAGTAACGCACGACATCGATAATTGAAGGTAGGCATCAAATAGAATTCGGAAATAACCGGGGAGAAGAACGAAAGACAGAGTTCGATGGAGAACCTAGAAAGGTGACCTACACTTCTACACGTGGTATTATAGGCGCAAGTGAACATGTTTAACAGATTAGAGTAAGTAAGAAAGGGTTATACAATCGAAACTTTACAATTTCTCAGTTCTCAAAACTATCACTCTCATTAATTTGAACTGATTTGTCAACTCGATTCGGATAAAATACCCTACGTTATAGATTGCCATGTGACTGAAATATTTTTTGCAATCATGAATTACCATTAATTCATGTTATCTTGCTTGTTGTTTTTGTCTAATTCAGATTATTACCGGAGCCAACTGAATGCACTTTTTCAGTTATGTTTTTTTCTAAAGCTTGGTTCATGGAATTGAAAAAATAAAATTGTCCTTATCTAGTCTTCCTAAATTGTAGACTTTGGTTGGTTGGGAACAACATAAATGTCTTTTGAGAGTAACCATTCTGTTCCTAATGAAACATAAAAGTAAATTGACAATTAATTTTTTTGAAAAATTAAACTCTTTTGTCCGTTACCAATTTTAATTACTTTGTCAAGAACAAATTGTGAGATAAAACAACATACATAAGTGAACATTATTTCCAATTAGATCATCATTAGACATTACTCTAATATACAGTAATATTTATATGCATATACAAAATTATCAAACCAATTAAGACAGTTTATGAGTCAGTGATAATGGTGGAATAGATTACATAAATAAAAGCAACAAGTAAAGTGTACGAATTCCCAGTGTGATGACAAGTGTAGTAGTTGTGAACAAATTGAAACAAAACTGTCGTATCTGTTCGTCTGTCACGATCACGATGAAGGATTTGGTTATCACTAAAATATACATTGTCATAATACAAATACACGCTGACTACTATCGATATGTCGTCTAGAATAACATTTATATTATTAAGTGATTTCATTTGTTATTGAAATTTCACACTGAAATATTTCATTTGTACATAATATAGTGTAGCGTAGTTTAGTGATAACATGTGCTAATTCATACAGATCCAGGTACAACAGATGAATCATATAGACAACCTAAACGTAAAATGTCAGTATATTTTATTGATGTTATTTCATAGTTTCATAATTCTATTCTAGATTAGATTCTTGTTATATCCCGAAGAGAATTCTGAATGGTAATTTTTGAAGACTATATATGGGCCAATGTGATATGTATATTTCCTATTGTATAATTGTTAAGTAACTAAACTATTCATATTTGTGTTCCTCTTATCATAAGCTTTATTTCGACCTATAGACTATCATTATACGATTTACCATTCTTGAGATATCCGTTGTTCATCAATTACAGTCCCCCCTATTCACATCCACATTCGGCCAAATCTTGTACAAATGTTATTTCCTATTTTGTGGTATGATGTGGTCAGTTTGTTTGGCATATAAACCCAGTATTTTTGTGAATAATGATTCATATTTCAGAGGCTGTTATTGGTGTTCTAGACTTAACTGGATGTGCTTGGCAGAATGCACGACTGATAAGCACTGAAGACTTCTCACACGGGTTTTGTGAATCATTGCTCTGATCGATAATTCACTCCTCCCTGATTGACGGTCTTATCACGTCATGTATTAACAGGTCACGCACTGATGCACTCGATATAACAATTCTAATAAATATTTGTTTTAAAACAAAAACCAAAATTGTCTATATTCTCTGGACGAATAATTTCCAGTCACTCATCATTGTTCTTAAGATATGAATGTGTTATTCTGTGGAATTATAACGTATATACTACTCCCACGCTTCATTTGAGTAACGAATCTTTTGGTAACTATTTTCTCTTCTAATTGTATTTAATTAACAGCTTCTATTATGACGAGACACTACATAAGGTTTTGGAAAATTGATTTACCGATTAATCACTTCATTCTAGTATAACACATCAAAACAGTGTTTATCATTGTTCACTCCCAGCGTCACAATAGTGCATTGATTTAGAAAACACATTGGACGCGTAAAATTGTAACACATATCCAACCTTAGTAATGAAACATTAAAATCCCTAAAATTATCGGTCTGAAATGACTGAACAGCGAGCTTCGTTTGTTGGTAAAGCAAGGACAGCGTTCCCACAATTGAAAAACATATAGAACTAAAAACAACTGTCTACAAGTCAACATCAAAATCAGAATCTTCAATACATAATGTAAACTTATTAATGCGCACGTACACAACGAAAAAGAAAAATAATTTATGTTCAAAATAGTGAAAGAAATTATTAATTCAAAATTGTGACTATATACCGTTGCGGTGATCTAACTCTTCGACCATATCTCGTCATTACTGGAGACTCTTGAACTAAGACCGTATACTTTAGAATAATAAGGATTCACTAAACATATAATTTTTCTCCCTAATATTTCGTTTTTATTGTTTTCAAGTTTCAAGCAGCTGAGAAGAACCCACGAAATAATGAGATTCATGTTATTTTACTACAGTCTTTGTTCTTTCTTCATAAAAATCAAAATAATCGGTTACTAACATTAGTCAAACAATTGTAAGTCGTAGGAAAATTTCCATTTGTTTATAATTAGCTGAGTAAGATCTTTTGATGAGGTCGGGACCAAAGATCAAACTGAAAAATTAAGCGGTCCGAAAAATAATACAGTTTCATCATGGAACACTACTTTACAACTTATTACCCTGTGTAAAAACTCGATACACTTGAATTTAGCACTTTCCAATATACTGTTAGTATATGTAATGAATATTAAAACATTCGCCAGCAGTAGATTGTCCCTTTATTTCCTTTCATCGACATTCTGCCCACGAAAAGACCTACAGACATTTTGAATAGAGAAATAATGTCAGGTGGTCTTCAACCAATCAACTTTGTACTTGCCAAACAAATAATTATTGTCTGATTGGCTATCATGTTTCAGATGCATTATCGATCTCGACCAATGAAAATTCTTCAAAGACAATCAATTATGGACGACAAAATACTGTCACTATTACTGAGATGATATGTTTTTCACATGGAAAGCTGAACTAATAAAGTATATTTTAGAATATTGAGGATTTAATAAACATAATAAGCGTTCTAATGAAAATGAAGTAAATTAGAAACATTAACGGATTATTATAATTACTGGATATCCTAAAACACTTTCATAATAAAACTTGATTGCCAAGTAAGTCTGTTGTAATCATTTCGTATAATAAGTTTGCTCTGTTTCTTATGCATCTTTGCCAATAAAGTGTTCTATAATTTTCATACTTTTATTTAATGCTTTGAGGACAATGTACCTGAAAGTTTCTTACACATTGTTTCACATATTAAATTTATAAGTGACCTATTTCATCATTCAATGCAGAGTCTGTCAAATCATAGTTATGTCAAAAGTATCAGTTTTATTTCAGGTAATTAAACACATGAAATATTGGTTTTCAGTGAATGAATTAGTACTTGAGGTAATTTTATGATGCATATATAAACATTGGGATAATACTTCCATCCACTTACTTACTTACGCCTGTTACCCCTCGTCGAGGAGCATAGGCTGCACACCAGCATTCTCCATCCAACCCTGTCCTGGACAACCCTTCCAGTTCTTTCCAGTTGTTATTCATTCATTTCATATCTGGTTCTATTTCCCGGCGTAATGTGTTATTTGACCTTCCCCTTTTCCGCTTCTCTTCCGAATTCCAAGTTAGGGCTTGCCTCGTGATGCAGTTCAGTGATTTCCTATGAACGAAAGAACTCCTGGATTATAGAAATGATAATAAGTTTCTTACGTGTGAAGTGTGACTCACATAAGCTTAAAATCACTTGGTTTCTGTGATCCACGTAATCAAGACAGGTTGAAAATGTGATGGAGTGGAAATATTTTAATGATCGATTCTGTCATGGAGGTGAGTTATACATAGAATTATTAATAATAAGGAAGCACTTGAGAAATTCATGTAATTTAGTATTTGGTTGGATTAAACTTCAATCCCATTCATTCTTGTGTCATTTACATGGCTTGACATTATGTGGTTTGTTCTGAGTTCTCCTGAGGGCGTGGAAAATTTACATCTTCAAGTACTAGATTTCTCTATTTCAACTGACAACCTAGAAGTCTTGTTTCCTAGTCTGAATCGAAAGACGGTAAATTACTTTGGACAATAGTTGAGATGACTTGATAAATTGATATACTCAGAAAACACGTTGATATGAGAATGGTTTGTAGTCATTTTATATAAATGTTAACTAAAACAGACCATACTTGTGAAAATAGTTTGTATTTTGTATTCCTCTCATCTACGGAGTGTTGTACATGATTTCTGTGAAACTCTTCATTGATGTAAACTCGCGAACTAAAACGTAATTGAAGATTCACTTGTCTTGTTCGCTAACATTTGTAAACTATGTCGTTATCTGATGATCCTCAACCTACGAGTTTGGTTGGTTGGTTAAGAGAACACTGTTGTCTAATCAGTGGATTCTGAAAAATGGATCAACTGGATGTTGATCCATACTTATTTGTTCAGTACATTTGTAATCAATACTCAAAGTTATAATGAGAAGTGATTTCTAATAATAACGGGGTGAAGCGATTATGTCGTAAAGTGATTGTGTGTGTTTGTATTTAGTATACAATAAGACAGAAACCATCGGTCGACAACGTGTTTTCTACAAGAATAAAGGGTATTGCAAAGTAGCATCTTACTAAGTTGAATCTTGTGGTTTGATGATTATTGAATCGGTTATTCTGATAGCTGACACTTTAAAAAATTCCACATTAAGTAAAGCCACCTAAACAGACGTCATCATCTTCACTCCCATGACACTTAACAGACTGAATGAAAGAGGCTAAGGAACATTGATTTTTTCGGTACACCAATCTTTATTTAACAAGTGAGTTCAGGGAATAAACCTGTGTGTAAGTTTTAAGTGGCAGACTGATGGTAATGAAATCGCAAACAAAACCTAAAAAGAGTGTAAATGGTTAAAAAGTTAGGAAAACAAAACACCAATTGTCTTATGTTCGACTACTGAGTCAATATACAACTACATATGCATATATACGTGTATATTACTTACGCCTGTTACCCGCCGTGAAGCCGCATAGACCGCCCTTCAGCATTCTCTATAGAACTCTGTTCTGGGAAATCCTTTCCAGTTGCTATTCATCCTGTTGATGTCTGCTTCTAATTCTCGACGTATTGTGTTCTTTGGCCCTTCTCTTCTCCGTTTCACCAAGTTGGCGCTTCCTTCGTGATGCAGTTTGATGATTTCCTCAATGTGTGTCCCATTCACTTCCAACGTCTACTCCTGATTTTCTCTTCAGATTGAAGCTGGTTTGTTCTCTCCCACAGTAAGCTGTTGCTGATGGAATCCGGCCAACGAACATTGAGTATTTTGTGTAGACAATTGTTTATAAGTACTCATACCATTTTGATGATGGTTGTGATAGTTCTTCAAGTTTCAACTCTGTATTACAGAACTATCTTGACGGTCGTATTGAAGATTCTGATTTTGAAATATGAATTATTATTCACAAAAATACTGGGTTTATATGCCAAACAAACTGACCACATCATACCACAAAATAGGAAATAACATTTGTACAAGATTTGGCCGAATGTGGATGTGAATAGGGGGGACTGTAATTGATGAACAACGGATATCTCAAGAATGGTAAATCGTATAATGATAGTCTATAGGTCGAAATAAAGCTTATGATAAGAGGAACACAAATATGAATAGTTTAGTTACTTAACAATTATACAATAGGAAATATACATATCACATTGGCCCATATATAGTCTTCAAAAATTACCATTCAGAATTCTCTTCGGGATATAACAAGAATCTAATCTAGAATAGAATTATGAAACTATGAAATAACATCAATAAAATATACTGACATTTTACGTTTAGGTTGTCTATATGATTCATCTGTTGTACCTGGATCTGTATGAATTAGCACATGTTATCACTAAACTACGCTACACTATATTATGTACAAATGAAATATTTCAGTGTGAAATTTCAATAACAAATGAAATCACTTAATAATATAAATGTTATTCTAGACGACATATCGATAGTAGTCAGCGTGTATTTGTATTATGACAATGTATATTTTAGTGATAACCAAATCCTTCATCGTGATCGTGACAGACGAACAGATACGACAGTTTTGTTTCAATTTGTTCACAACTACTACACTTGTCATCACACTGGGAATTCGTACACTTTACTTGTTGCTTTTATTTATGTAATCTATTCCACCATTATCACTGACTCATAAACTGTCTTAATTGGTTTGATAATTTTGTATATGCATATAAATATTACTGTATATTAGAGTAATGTCTAATGATGATCTAATTGGAAATAATGTTCACTTATGTATGTTGTTTTATCTCACAATTTGTTCTTGACAAAGTAATTAAAATTGGTAACGGACAAAAGAGTTTAATTTTTCAAAAAAATTAATTGTCAATTTACTTTTATGTTTCATTAGGAACAGAATGGTTACTCTCAAAAGACATTTATATTGTTCTCAATAAGATTGTTCGCTTAATAGTGTGAACATTTGTACTAAACAATCAACAGTTTTAATGATCCATATTCATGTGACTCGTCCTACGTTTTTTTTCATCTCACAAGTTTCGTAATAAGCCTTAATTTTTTGAAAGTTTAAATGTTACCTAAATGAACATGTTTTTAATCTTCAGTTAACAATTGTCATAAATGAAATGTACAATTAATGATGTGTCAAATAACATAATAAAAGCTTAGTGGTGGTTTCGAATCATAAGGTTTAAAATTAAACAATTTGTACTTGTGATTAATTGTAGTAGATGCTGAATAACTGAAAAGAAATCCTTGTTTACAATGAAGTGATATGATTGCGAATGAAAATGAATGCACAGATAGGAGTTTGTAAGATATGTTGCTCATGATTAGCCATCTTGTAGGCCGAAACACTATGTTGGAATGTAAATTTGCCTTAGATGGACAGTCCATAACATCACATTAATCTGTGGTCAATGGTTATTGAAATAATTCGTGGCGAGAAACTCAACCTTCGTGGTTCAGTTTAAACTACATTTCGTGCGTAGATGTTTTGCTTTGCATGCAAATAACTCACTCCATTTGCAGTGATGTCAACAGAGGTGACTTTATTGAAACAAATCTCTGACGGAATTCAAGTTAATTATGACTGATTGCTTCAATGCCATATAATCACATTAAATATCACTTTCAAGAATTATTGAATTTATCATAGTTGAAAGCGTGAGTCAGTTGAAGCTAGACCACCATGGAAAACCTGGAAACATTGGGCGACCGTGGTGGTCTAGCTTCAATTGACTCACGCTTTCAACTATGATAAATACTAATTCTCCACAAAACCCCTACTGATAATTATTTAGTTTGTTGCTTTTAGTTGTCCAAACTTCGGAAACATCAATCTATCTTTTAGTGCATCTATAATGGGCTCAAGCTTTCTAGAACCCATTCCCTCTCGACTCCTTGGTCTACCTTTTTGTTCATAGAGCGGTGGTTCCTTTACGTCCAATTCTAGACATGTCAAACTCACCACACAATTCAACAGCGAAATGGTTGGCGAAATTGTCAGAACCATTACACCAAGACTTGATTAAGCACAGTGTTAAAGATGTATTTGAATTTTGAATACAAGCCATGTTGTCACTAGACACGACATCTTTGTTTACTGACATCCTACTTACAGAAGATCATCGAATACATATGTGAACAACTGCTGGAAAAGAAAATGCAGAAACCGATTTCCATAAATTAAATGAAGGAGCTTCTGTTGAAATGCGCTATGAATATCTATTTTATGTCTAATAATTTACTGTACAAACAAGTAGGTTGAGTAGCTATGTGATCACCCCTAGGCACAATCCACACTAATATATTCTTGTCTAAACTGGAAAATGGATTGTTGAAAGACAACCTAAATAAGCTATTTTATTGCTGTTGATATAAAGGTGTCACATTAGTCGTATGTGACGAAAGTAGCGACAAACAGAAACTGTTGAACAGTTCGAATAACGTCCACCAAGATATTGTGTTCATCAGTGAAGAGGAGAAAAATAGTAGTATTGTTTTTCTTGATGTCCTACTTTCTAGAAGGATAGTTGGTTTCATAAAAAGAAATGTATTCAGAAA